GTGTGTGTGTGTGTGTGTGTGTGGGTGGGTGGGTGGGTGGGTGGGTGGGTACACACACACACACACACATACACACACACACGCACACCTGTGAGACAATAGTGTACCTGCAAGCTGGAAATCGTTTTTATGTGTATGTCGAACTGTAAAGGACAGGAGGTGATAAAGTGCTGTCGTAATCGCACCTTTGTATACAAGCCATATAACAGTATGAAAATATATACCATGCCGTCTAAATGCAGCTTATTAGCGGTAGTACTCTTTGATAAGGTATCAATGCTAGAGAATTTCAAAAACACGTACCGGTGCGGCGACCATCTTAACGAGTACTTCGCCGTCCTTCAAGATGGGAACATCGACCGTACGGACTTCGAGTTTGACTTTTTTGTAGTCTGTATGGAGCCAATCAACAATATGAGTAGTATTCTAACGACAATGTGCGCTACTGTCAAACAATATTGGCGCTAGCCCGCGAACCAATTCGAAATTTACATCGCTTTGTGTTGACGTCCAACCTGGACATACCTGGGTTGGATTCCACCAGAAACATCTTCTTCATGGTGGCGGGAATCTTATGTGTACTCTGTTCTGCACCCATATTGACAAATTCTGCTATATGAAAATACTGCTTTCTTCTATAGATGTGTTTAGGAAGCAGCTTGATATTGCACCACCAGACGTAATTGTTCTTTTCTTATATTTTATTTACAAGTTTGTTTTACCCAGCAGGGGGGGGGGGGGGGGGCAAATAGATTTATAGAAACTCTCTAAAGTCTACTAAAATATATACAGAGAGTCTGACTATGTTTTTTGGTCACTCTCCTACAGTAGAGTGTAGAGTAAAAGAAAATGTGTAAATTTCAAAATTCCCAAATCGGGTTTTAGAGTTTAAAAAATGCGGCCTCGCCCTCTCTGGATCTGGAATCAGTGGAATTGTCTCGAAACGATTTTGTCCGGGGGCGAATCCATTTTGCAAGGGAACTCCGGGGACTAGGTATTTAGTATGTTCTACAGGAGCACTAGCAACGTATTTACTATTTATTTTAGTCAGTTAAATTGTTTTACTGCCATTTGACACGGATTCGGGACAGCCGTCGGCCATTTCTGTTCGTTTCGGACCGTTTTCATCTAATTTTCACCAGTTTTTAGGGCCGCCTACATCTTCAGGACTTCAGGGGGCTATTTTTATTTTTCGAATATCTGCACTCTGCTTATCTGCCATCTGGGACTAGGACTTGGGGACTGGGGGGTCGGTCGAAACTCGAAAGTCGAGTCAGGGACGCAGGGCCCCAGGGGAGTCAAGTGTCCACTCAGTCAAGTCTTCGTGACCCGTCCTCGACGGCCATCGATTTTTTTCTTCCCTTTCCACGAGATTCGAACTTTTCGTAAAAATACCAACAGGGGCAGGGGAGTAAATCGATAATCATGGCCCTCTAAATTATACAAGAGAGGGCTTTTTTTGAGTAGTATAATATTAATTTGTATGTATGTATTTATTTATGTTGTTGTTGGCGTGTTGTGTGTATTAAAATGTTGTATGTATTAAAATGTTGTATGTATATCTATTGTGAGATATGAGATATGTATTTAACTATTTATAACTATTTTTATGAGGTGCAAAAAAAACCCCCGCTGCCAAATACAAGGAAAAATTTGACTCAATTTTCAATAGGCGAATACCTACAGGGCCCTGAAAACTGGAGAAATTAGATAGAAATAATCTCAAATATCATGTATTTCAAATATTGTTGCCTTGAAAATGGGTAAACAATCGGGTTGAACTTCCCACTTTCCGCTTTTCTGATTCGTTTTGTCCTTTTTCTCTAGAGGTCTTTTAGACCCCCGCCACTACGCCTAGCATTCTCGTACACCGCTGTCATGCCTACAACTAAGACTCCCGCCGTTAAACCTAACATTATCATACACCGCCGATATGCCTAGCATTCTCGTACACAGCCAATTATGCCTAGCATTCTTGTACGCCACCAATTATGCCTAACATTCTCGTACACCGCCAATAATGTCTACCATCCTCGCACACCGCCAGATATGCTTAACATCGTTCATATGCTGTCTTTGTACTAATGTCATATGCCACATACGCAACATGAACCCCAAAAACCCTAAAACCCTTATTTGAGACTTAACACTCTTGCATAGTGTTACTCGATTTTGACCACATTTTTTAGTGACCGACCTACTGCATTTATTACACTACCTTCTTTACAAGCTAAACTACCTAAAATGTGGTTTATATTTTTGTTACCACGATGAAAAAAATTACTACGTGAGCAAAAAGTGTCGATTATTGAACTGTTCTGAATTCACCGGCAATCGCCATTGCGTACTGATGAGATCGCGACATGATTTTCTTCTGATTTGATACCGGATGGACAAACCAAGGCAGAGGTCCATGCTACGCTAGACAATTTTGAAATATGAGACTCATCAATTTATTTCTACGTTGGATAAGGTCATACAGCATATTGTCAGAAGGGGTTATTAAGCGGAGCAACAAATTAGGGATACTAATACATGTGCAAAAGCGCTAAGGAGGTTATTCTGCTAATTCGGCTACTAATTCGAAAATGTCGGGAATTTTAAATAGAACGGGTTGACTCATCTCAAGGCAATGGCACAACAGTCTGCATTGATGTGGACTATGCGATTGATAGACGATCAATAAATATTTTCAGGCGTCAAACGAAATCTTTAAGTTCCAAATCTAAAAACTATACGAACGGTACAACTTCCTAAATTTGACCGTCCGGGGCTGAGCCAGCCATCATTGTGCGTATGGGAGCTCATGGACGTGATACTTGTAGCTTAAACAGATGCGGGTGACTAAGGGCAGCATTACTAACTAATACTGTGTAGAACTAACAAAGATTTTTTTTTGTAAAGGACTCAAATTAAGCGGAACTACAACTTATCGAAGGTGTACTTGCTAGTACACCAATAGAGATTTTTATATCAAGAACACAAACATTTCTGGTATTGAAGTTGGAGGCATTTTACGTGAATTTACAAGTACATCGGTAGGTCTGTATCGCAACTCAGGGATATACAATGCACACAGCAGACAGTACCAGAAAGCTGACTGTGGACAAAGTTCTGTTGTGCTCAAAACAGCAAAGTTTTCGATTGCAACTGATTGATGTCCCTAGCACCATGTTATGCATTGTAATACACACAACCTCATAGTGTATGTCTTCATATCTTATCGTCTGTGTCACCTCTCTGACACCCAAAACGGATTTGTACTCTTGTTTTGACGTCAACATCATGTAAAGAGCTTATACGTCACCGCCAGTCTCTATCCCGCCGCCAGTCGAGGTACCGTCGCGTCATGTCACATAAGTATGAAAAATTCGTGATTATTCCCAATTCTGTTCTAAGGACTTTTTGTTAGGGATAATTTTTTTTATTTCAAAAATGGCAAGTATGTATGATACAATGTATGAACATATGGTATGGCTCTCATAGTCGCTGTAGTGGTTCAGGAAAGATTGATGGGAAGAAGTGGTCAGTAAATTCCCGTTTGGAGCTTGGGCAAAGTGAGTCGACAATGGAAGATATGTACTGAGTCAATTCGGGCCGGTGTTGACAAAACCTGTTTGCTTGCTGACCTACTAGGTAGAGTACCCACCTCTGTGGTACGGATCGGGTCTGTGCCATGTAGTACCGCGGAATGGGTTAGTGCAGAGTACGAAATACCGAGAAGGACCAGATTATCCGTCATAATCCGGTCGAGAAGCGAGGATGGGGGTAAGCCAATACCGCACCAGACCACGGATGAATTCGGTATGTGTTGGCTGGCCTGGATCGGAAGTATCATAGTCGGAACCTTTTGTTAGTGTCCGCCGTATGCGTAGAATATCCCTGAGTTGTGATGACGTTGGTTATTGACGACCTTGGAAAATTTACATCAAAGCCTGCCCCCAACCTTAGTAATATAGTCTCCTTGTAAATCTCTGTTGGTGTCCAAGCAATCATTGTCACCGTCGACAGGCTGAATATGTGTCCACGTATTCACTTCTACCTTCGACAAATTTTATATTCGTGTACACTTGAACTTTTTATACTGTCGACAAATGTCGTCCTAAAATTACAAGTCAGCTCTGCATCAGTTCTGCCCAATACTCGCTTGTAGTGTTTCCCTTTAGCCACCAGTATATATTTTAACTGAATTAATCATATCCATGAGCTGTGCTCGTGTACAGTGATGACTGGTTTAGCCCTAGATGGACAAGAATATGAAGTTGTCCCATGCGTATATCTGGTAAGTTCAGAACTTGTAGAATCTGGTCGGCACCTGACAAAATTTGTCGTGAGTCCCTTTCAATCGTATGGTCCGTATCCGTTCCAGACTGTATCATTGCCTTACGACGAGTCAACCCATATAAGAAAAAAATTCCGGAATTTTTTACTTAGTAGCCGAAATAGCAAATTATCCTTCTTTTGCACATGTGTCATCAGCGCTAAGTTGTCGCTCGGCTCGATAGTTTTTTTCATATGCTGTATGGTCTTATCCAACGTGGAAATCGATTGTTGAGTTTCAGAAAATCAAATGATCTAGCGTAGGTTAAACCTCTGCTTTGGTATTTCATCCGGTATTGAATCAGAGGAAAATTGTGTCGCCACCTCATCAGTGTGCAATGGCGACTGCGGATGGATTCCAAGTAGTTGTATCAACAATCGAACACAGGCTTTCTTGCTCACGTAGTAACTTCATTTATCGTGTAACAAAAAGTTACATAACTAGTTAATTTAAGTTAGCTTAATCTGTGAGGAACATAATGTAATAAATACAGTAGTTCGGTCACTTAAAAATGTGGTCAAAACCAAGTAACAATTAATAATGTAAGAATCAGCGGTTGGAGCGGGTTATTAAGTATAACCTTACTTTGTGGGAAGAGTAACGACACATTTTTCCAAGAAAGCCCAGGGTTGCTTGCGGTCTACCAGATGAAATCTTGGTAAGACCAAGTATTCAGTTGTCAATGCGACTTTGTCGTACAGTACTAGGCTTATAATAACTTGGACTCAGAAGACGTGTGGATACACTAAGATAGGATTTATCCCGGTGGATCAAACGGCGGTTGGGGCGGGCTATTAAGTAGAACCTCACTTT